GCTAACGCTCAAGATGGCTGCGGCACGGCTATCCATCTATTAAAATCAGCGGCTTTGCTTACACCGGTTAGGTTAAGAATGCTTTTACAATTTTAACTTTTGCCCTTTTGATAACTTTGATGAGCAAATCCTTTGCTTATTCTCTGGAAGTATCTTTTTCGCAGGGCATTATAGAAAAACAACATCATGTGCAGTTTAGCCATGAAATCTTCCGTTCTCTTGCTGTTGTCCTCCACCTCCCCACTGCTGCTTTTCACCTCTTTGCTACGGCTATTATCCTGCATAAGCCCGGCCATGCTCGCATTTCAACATAATACTGAGAAATCGATTGTAGCAATTTTTCAAACAGTCGTTTTAGATTGTTTCATGAGATGAAATTGGGAGCTTAGCATATATTTCTGTTTGAGGTAGCAGTTCGCATGCACCCAGCACCCACAGTGATCGCCGAGGACATGTTGCCAAAAATGATAATGGTTCGCGAAAGTCTGGGGGAGATGGTAAGTTTTTGTTCCTTGAATGCAACGCTTTGTTATTTGTTGAGATAAAAGCTGTTATGAAAGAATTTGAATGTATGCTATTGAACAACTGATTTTATCGTCTAGTTTATGCCTTTTTTACAAAGTCCTATTAGCTCGAAAGCAGTGTCCAGACAGATTTTTGGTTTTTAATTTTCATGGACGCAAACGAGTTGCAGAAGGAGTTTTCTGAATCTTTCCCAAACAACCTGTCTTCGTAGCAAGAGACCATCCCAAAAAGTTCTGAATGATTGACTTCCTTGGTTACTTTTCAGCCACAAGGGAGTTTTTTGAGGCTGGCTACGGTAATGTGGAGAAAACTAAAAAAAAAACACTATAATTTTGACTGAAGCTGACTTCAAAACAGATTTTTACAGAAGTCCTCGTATGTCGTATTCAATAGTGGAAACAATGTTGTTGTATCGTAAGTAACAGCACCTATTCATAGTATTAATTTCCACGGATGCCTTCATAAAAACGTGTTAGTTGTGTGGAACATCATGTCCTGACTGTGCTTTATTGCTAACTAAAATATAGTATCACTTTGTCCATGTTTACACAATTTAAGTTTGCTGTTGAGCCATAGTACAGATAAGGTAAAGCTAGACTAGAAGATGGTTTGTAAGATGCTAATGAGGGATCTGTTTTAGGTGTAGGCCGCATTCCGGCTGATTTGCTTGCACCTGAGATCGACTCTCAACTTGAACAGTTGGGCAGTCTGCCGAAATTGATCAAGAACATTTTGGTTAATGAACATGATGCTGTTGTTAATCAAGGAAAATTGGCTATCTTACCGTCGAGAGTTACTGTGCACGACATTGTGGAGAAATATGTAGAATTTGTGGAGTTACATTATGGTAACAAAGCAGTAGAAATCGAGTGAGTTTTGATTTTTTTGAAGATGTAGCTTATTCTTAAAATGGAAACGTGCTTTAGGCACGACAGTGGTGTAACATATCTGGCCAGCAATGAAATATTAATTAGAACAGCGAGGGCATTGCGAGACTATTTTGACATCCTACTTCCTTACCAGTTATTATACAAATTTGAACGCCTGCAGTTTAATACTGTGGCCAAGAAGGAACAGGAGAAGTTCGACGCAGAACAAGCGCATTTTCAAGAGACAACACCGCGCAGGTTA